TTTGCTTTGTTTTGTTTTTTTACAATTTTTAACATTAAAATTGTCCAGTCATCACATTCATTAAGCAATTACATTCAAGTATCCTAAATTTCAACACTGCATATATTCCTGACTCCTTCTAAGAAGCCATGACATTTTTCATATCTCATTTTCATCATAAACCAAAATAGCTCTTAAAGTTAATTATACTTAGAGTCAGAATATTGTGCCAAACACCCAATACCTAGCCATTAATTATTATTTTCTAAATATTGAGAACACAGTATAAATTGTTAAGTACATGTCAAAACCTGGTCCCCGCCCTAAGGCTTACCATATAAATTTCAAAAACAAATCAATTCAGACTACATACTACATCAACTCAAAAGCAAGGTTAAACTTGAAAGACATGAAGTTCAGGGACCTTTTTGTAAAATCACTAAGAAGTTACTATTATTCTAACCAGAACTTGTTGGCTTGAGAGTAGAATTTTGTTTTGTTTTGGCTTGATTTAATCTTCTAACAATGCTACTACTACCATTCCGGGAAAGAACATTCTCTTGAGACTGCTAGAGTTGTAGTATAATTTCAGTTACTCTTTGTTATCCCAAATGATACAATGAAATAACATATAAAACACTTAGATATCACCTATATTTTCCTTAAGCATTTGAACAAACTAAAATATATCAAGCTACAATAATAAGAATCTCAAAGAGTGCAATACAGCAAAGCAACTTTAATCTTTTCCATTAAAAAACAGCATCAGGCCTCCCTGGTGGTGCAAGGGGTTGAGATGCGGCCTAAGAGGCTGTCCGCAGCCACCGTGGCACGAGTTCAATCCCCACCTGTGGCGCTGCCCACATGGCGCAGCAGACCTCTCCTGACTCACCCACTGCTCCCCTCAGCTGTGTATTTCAGTCAATCTGCCTGTTCTGTTCCCCACTCTGTCTCTGGTGAATCCTCTCACCCTCCCTCCCACACCTCTGGCTTATACCCCAGTTCTTGTATGCATAAATAAATAAACAAAATCTTAAAAATATGTGTGTGTATATATATATATATCCATACAGACAAGCACTAAAAGAAAAATGAAAGAAGTTTCATTTGTTGAAATGGTACAACTGCATTATTTTGTTTCACGGTATAATTATAAATTTATTTCAAATTATTGATATAATGTTATTTGGGTAATAAAAAGAGAAAAAAACAATCACCTTTTTCTTCAGAAAAAAGGAGCATTGCAGAGAGTTAGGGCTTGTTGGATATGGGGACTACTGTCAACAACTTTCTTAAGTACCAAAACATTCCTGGCGTTTTCCAGAATATAGAAGTGAAAATTCTTAGTACAGTTGTAGCAGAATTTGAAATTATTTCTTGGAATAAAGCGAGGAATGGATAAATAGATGGACATAAAACATTTAAGTACTTCTTGATTAAAATGAGATAATAGACACTCTCTTAAATATGACTTAGGCTGAAATTGTTAATTTTTATGTACACAAGTGAGTAAATTCTAGGAAGACTATTTCAGACTGCTGTAAAAGCCTTCTTGCTTCCAAATGGTATGTCTATAACATGAGGGAAAAAAAGAAGCTAGATACAGAGGTGTACATACTGTATGATTTTACCTGTGTAAAATCTAGGAATTGGCAAGTTTATGATGTCTATCCCTAACAACCTATAAATTATTCCTCATTAAAGAAGAAAGAATGATCTGGATTAAGATAAGATCATCTCAGAAAATCATACACAGACATTAGGAAGATGTTATTTTTCTTAATTAGCATATTTGAAATGTAATGAAGCTTTTCTAAGTATTTTGGGTAATCTGACCTTACTAAATTGGGAAAGGTGGGTGATCATGAATGGCAAGATGTTCATTTAATTAGTTATTACTGTTTCCAGTGGCTGGCTGGGTGATCGTTAAGGTCACTACTGCCACTCCTTTTCAAATGAGTAGATGGATTCTCTTTTCTAAAGAGATATGTTATTATATAATAGACTAATAAAGGAATCATGTAAATCACACGCTGGAAATCTGTGACTGACACAGAGAACAGGAGTGCCCTGTCATCTGAGGTCTTGGCTGAGGGGAAGTAGACACAAGCTTGAGGGCATCACATTAATATGTCTGACTGGAACTTGACCTACTATTTGCATCTTCATGTTTTGGGTAGCTGTTCTTAGAAGATGTGTTATTTTGGAGGTTTTTACTCAGGCATGTTTAATACAAAAACAGAGAAATTCTTTTTGCTATCAGAAAGAAGAATAGAGGGACCTCCCTGGTGGCACAAGGGGTTAAGTCAACACTATGAGGCTATCAGCAGCTACTGCAGCAGGAGTTCGATACCCCACCAGGGAGCTACCCATATGGCACGGCAGACCTTTCCTGTCTCGCTTGCTGCTTCCCTCTGTGGTGTATTTCAGTCAATCCGCTTGTTCTTCTTCCCACTCTGTCTCTGGTGAATCCGCTCACCCTCCACACCTCTGGCCTATACCCCAGCTCTTGTATGCATAAATAAATAAATGTTAAAAAAAGAAAGTGGAATAGAGAGAGGAAGCAGAGCAGAAAGAGCATGAACTTGATAGTCATAAATACTAGGAGTCAAGTTCTAGCTCTTCCATTTCCTAAATATGTGATCGTGGGAAAATTATCCAATTTTTCTAAGCTTCAATTACTTCGCCTATGAACTGAAGTCAATAATACCTGCCGAACACTGTTATTGTAAGTTTTAGAAACAATACTCAGCAAAGAATGATGGTGGTGCTTGTTCAGTGTTAGGAGAACTGGATATGAGCCATCCTCAGCGCTCCTGACTGAAGGGCTTTGTTCAAGTTCTGTAGTCTCTCTGACACTCAGGTTTTTCACTTATAAAAAAAAAAAAATAGCCACCTGTTGATGAATAGCTTCTGTGGTTCAATCAATTTGCAAACAGTCTATTTTTGTTCTTTCTTGTCCTGCTAGGTGGTTTTACTGAATCAAGCACTTTCAAACTATAGGTACTAGAAAAGGAGAGCACAACCTATTTATGGGATCCATGGAACACAAAAGGAAAAATAAATGGCAAAGTAGCACCAAGCACTGGACTCATACCTTTACTTGAGACCCACGACATAAAATTCCTGGTCTGGTCATTCTTCAGAGTAGATGAGATTGGTGATAGGCTTGAGCTTGCTGATTCCACTTAAGTCAGTGATTTCACTGCTCTAACTTTTAGATGTTCATCTTGTTCTTTTTTTTTTATTTTAAAGATTTTAAAGATTTATTTATTTATACATACAAGAACTGGGGTACAGGCCAGAGGGGTGGGGGGGGTAAGAGGATTCACCAGAGACAGAGTGGGGAGCAGAACAGGTGGACTGACTGAAATATACTGCTGAGGGGAGCAGGGGGCAAGTCAGGAGAGGTCTGCTGTGCCATGTGGGTCACCTCCCTGGCTAGGGATCGAACTCGTGCTGCAGTGGCTACAGATAGCTTCATAGTATTCGTTGAGAGAAGCCAAGACAGAGCAAGTTTCAAGTATATCATCTAAAAATAGCAAAAAGTGACCTCTCTTTTGCCTGAGGGTTACCCTCCTCTAGTGCTCTGGCACCAAAGCAAGGGCAGTTACTCCATCTCTCACCCAGGGGCTGGGGGTGGAGGTCAGGGGAGGAGTAGTTACCTTTATAATGTTTCATTGGCTCAAGATACTAGCTTACCTAGGAAGAAGACAATGACAATACCAGAAACAAAAATGTTTGTGAGCCAGACTGGGTCAAGCAGTACAAAATAATACGATCTATTGTATATTTTAAACTAAAATATTGTTGCTGTCTAAACCAAGAGGAGCACAGCTAGTATTTCTCTATATAAAGGGGGAAAAGAAAATCACAACCTGACACAGATTTTACCTGTGTTTCTCCATACCAACCAAGATAGAGGACCACAAACTGAGCTTGACCTGGCTTCCCAGGACTGTTGTTAGGACTTTATGAAATAACAAAAGTACTCTGTTAAATGCAAAACGCTACATAAATATTAGCTAGGTTATTACAAGAAGGGAGCTGGTATCACTCCAGGTTTGTGTGGCAGACAGCAACAGTAAACTAAGCAGACAGCTGGGCAAATCTTTCAGACACAGGAAGCACATATGACTCTTGAATGCAGGCTGGATTCCCTTTCGCTGAGCTACACCTGCCAGACTGGAAGCCCCTGGTGCCTCAGTCATGAATGGGCACGTCCTGTCCAGAGCCTCAAGGGCCTGGCCCAGTCTGGTCTTTGGCTCCACCCTGCAGTGTTGGCCAAGGGCCAAGTCTGGGCTAACTTCCCCCTCTAGCTTGCCGGTACAGCCTTTCCGGTACCATGAGGCCTTAAGCCAAAGTCTCAAGTTTTGCAAAACACAAGTAGACCAATAATAAGAAGGTGCCTTCCTCTATGCTAGGGAATTTCCCTCCCCTCCTCTTACCCCTAAGTCACTTCTATTTCCACCTCTTCTCTGTTTCTCACCTGCCCCCTGGCTCCCTTGGAACATTATCCCATTGACCATTCGTCTGAATTGACTCTCGGCTGCTCCCTTCTAAGTGCCAATTCCTAACTAACTCCTTGTGTCAGTGACTGGAACATAATGCATGTTAATAACCACTCACTGAATGAAAACAAATATCAAATTAATGAAAGGGCAAATACATGTCAAATGAAGCCATAGGCCTTTTCCTGGGTCCTGACCTCTCTATCTCTGGCCTGCTTTTCATTTGCTCTTAGGACCAAATGGTAGGGCAGCTTCAGCTTGGTTTCTCAGACTTTACTTCTTTATGCACAAGGAACCAATGTCAGCACATCTATTCTTTCTGTGAGTTTTGAGAGGAAAAAGAAACTGAGAGGTGGACAAACCTCACTCTCATTCTACTTTTCAGAGGGACAGAACCAAATGTGACAGTAGATTAGCATGTGGAGGGTATGTGTGTTCAGGAGTGGTGGAGAACAATAGTAGATTAATCCTATCAGAAACAGAAGTAAAAGGCTTTAGATTCCAACTCACTGTTCTATCTCCAGATGTCTGATGGATCAGGGAGGGTAGAGCCACGTTTTTCTGTTCAACGGCGAGCACCACTACACTGGTGAAGCATATCAATACCAACTCCTGATAAGCTCAAACAATTAAATATACATGTAGTTGAAATGCTAGGAGATGAGAAAGAAAGCAGAAAAAAGTATTTGAAGAAGTATTGGCTAAGATTTTTCTTAATCTAATGGACAGAAATTTGCAGACACAAGACCGTAAATAAAACCCCTAGAAGGCTAAACACCAAAAAGTTCACTCAATGTACATCACAAATTATTGAAAACTGAAGATAAAGAGCAGATCTTGAAAGCAGCAAGTTAAAATAACATATAGGGAAGAAAATTATCTGATCAACACCAGATCTTTCAGTATTTATCATTCACGTAGATGATACATCCACCATTCCAATCCTTTGTCTTCTTCCTCTCCTCATGGGACACGCCTTGGAACTATATTTATAAATTTCCTCTTAAGTATTTACCAAATATCACCAACTTTTGTTCACCTCTTATACCTACTGAAATCAGATACCTGAAGGAGCTTAATTTCCACAGAAACCATATAGGCTAGATGAGAATGGAAAAAAACCTTTAAAATGTTGAAAGAAAAAAAACCCACACCATCAATCTAGAATTTTATATCCATGGGTCATATTATTAAAGTGTGAAAGCAAAATAACATTTTCAGATAAAATAGATCTTTAGAGAATTTGTGGCCAACAGACATGAACTATAAGAAACACTAAAGGAAGTTCTTCAGGTTGAAGGGATATATCAGATGGAAACTGAGATCATCAGGAAAGAATAAAGAACACCAGCAATGATAAATATTGAGTAAATCAAGACTATTTTGGTCATACTATTTATCTTAATTTCATTATAGATTACTTATTTAATTTCTTTACAAATTATTTATAGCATTGTCTTGGGAGACTAGTAGTAGAGGAATTAAAATATAAGTTCCAAGTTCTCACAGTCTTCCTACTCAATAAGATAATGTATTTGTTTTATCAGTTGCTTAGAGTCTGGATTTGCGTCTGTTCTCTATGCTAGCCTCTTCCCACCACTGTGGGTGTTTGTTTTGAGAGTAGAATAGGGTAAAGGAAGGAACCCTTAAAAACTAACATAAGGGGGAAATAGAACCTAGGATATATACAGCTGAGAAGGAAAGTCAGTTCAGGGAAGGGGAGAAAGAATAAGATTAAATACTTCACTGGTAAAAGCTAGATTACCAGGAACAGACCTAAGAATCCATTCTAAATTATGGCAGAACTAGGGCAGAAGAAATGTAATATACCTAGTTCCTTTCCTTATTTCTCAACCTTTGCACTCTATACTACTTCATAATTCTGTCTAGAATTATGTAGGACTATCTACATATTTTGAGTAGAATTAAGCTCTTCCAGGTATCTTATCTCCAGTTGGTGCAAGAGGTGAACAAGAGATGGTAAGATATGGGAAATACTTAAAAATGAATTTATAAACATAGTTCCAAGGTGTGTCCCATGAGGAGTGGAGGAAGTCGAAGAATGGGAATGGTGGCTCTATCACCTATGTGAATCATAGATACTGAAAGAGTAGGATAGACAAACTGATCTCGAAGTTCTGAATGGAACCCTGGAATACAGAGAGCTATTTTAGAGTTTGGGATACCATAGACACCCAGTTATATACAGGACTCCAATTTCCATCAGAGGTTGGCATTTTGGTTTATTTTAGGGACATTTAAAAAAATGGTTTTCCCTTTACTTCTGTATAAACATCCCTTTCTATGAACTTCATTTTTGTCCTGCCAACAATTTGGTACCTTCTTCAGGGAGGAAAGAGAGCTCAGGGTGACTTATACTGGGTCCAGAATCCGGAAACACAAGTGACACCCATCAAACGATGGGAAGGGAAGGGAGACTGGTTATAAAAATAGGTTTTTCCTTACAGGCCAACTCTCTGAGCATTATGTTGAGGCTGAGACTCTTGAGTGGGCTCTCAAAGGAAGTACTATAATTCATTGATGTCTGCCTTGGGGATGAGATCATTGTTCAAGAGTGCTATCCCTACGTTGGGTGGTTTGTTGGCAGATGGGAAGCCTGGTCCCTAGTAGATAAGGAACCTCTTGGACTAAAATAGAAAGGAGTCAGGTCTCTCTGTGTCATTGAAACTCAGGACCTGTCTGTCAGGTCTTGGTCAAGTCCTAATCGAAGAATGAGTGTGAGTGTGAGAGCGGAAAAGCCTGTTTATCTTCATTGACGTTTGCTGAGTTCCTCACATAAGTTGGTTGGCCAGTTCAGATAGGTCTGGACATTAGGGTCATTCTTTGACGCCATTCTTGTTACCATCATCTGTCCCAACAGGTAAGGAATGAAAGGAAGGCATGGTATCACTTGATCTGCACAGATTTTCCCTTCACCAACAGAAGTCATGGGGATATGAGTTTTTTCCATGGTACCAGCCCTCATTCTGCCTCTAAAAAAACTAACAGTTATCTTGGGTTTTGGACCCTCATTTTGTTATGCCCAAAGGAATCAGTGAATTCTCTCACCTTCCAACAAAGAGGAAGCCTTCCAAGTTTCTTTCTCTTGAAGGACGGTGGAGTCAAAGGTTAGCCCTCGGCATATGGGAGTGCCTTGAGTTGAAATCTGGTCTTTTGGTCAGGAGACCAGTGACTTGAGAGGGAGAAAAAAAGAAATTCTGAGTTTGAGTTTCACCTGAGCTTGCATTTGAGCTACCTGCCGGGTAGCCCTGGTGTGGAGAACAATGTTCAGCTTCAGTAGGTCTGCAGCTAGTGGTGTTTGGGGAGAGATGACCTTCTTACTGCTCGGTGAGACATTTGGGGGGAGTTACTCTTGCATGTGGATGTGGTAGGGAGGCCCTACCACGTGCACCTTTTTTTGTGTTACGGAGGGGGAGCAATGCTGAGGTGATGGGCATTGGGTATGGTTTGTCCTTGTGGGTACCTGGGCGGGTCTGAGAGGCCTGTAAGAGACTCCGGTGCAAGGTGGGAAGGACCTCCTTCTCCAGCCCCACTCCCCCATTCCCGGGAAACCGTGTCCCAGATCAGAAAGAAGCCCGAGTGAATGAGGAGGCTCCAGAGAGAGCCCCACGTGGGGCGCCACAAGGAGGTGCCGGACAGGGCCCTTTCCAAAACCATGGGGTCGGCTGTGGCAGGAAACACACCACCCAACCTCGGTGTATCACCTCGGGGAGGAGGAGCCAGGTAGGTCGCCGTCGCTCCGGGAGGGACTACGGGTCCGGGGCTTCGGGGCCTCCCCGAGGGGAGAGCGGCGACCAGGACCAGGCCCGCGGGGTCCGGGGCCCCGGGGCTGTGGGGGTGAGCAGCGGCGCCGGAGCCAACCCCGGGCTCCCGGGGGCGGGGGAGTCGGTGCCCGGCGACGGGCGGGCGGGCGGCGGGCGGGCCGTCAGCTGCCCGGCCCGTCGCCTCCCTCCCCGCCCCTCGGCTTCCTGCGGAGGCCGTGGCCGCCATGTTGTTGTGGGGCTGAGGCGGCGCCGCGGAGCCCGAGCGGCCGTGACAGGCTGCGCAACAGGTTCGCAGTCGGCGGCCTGGCGACCCACCCGGCGGCGGCGGCGGCGGCCGAGCCAGGCCTCCCGGCGCCCCCCGCCCGCGCGGCCGGTGCCGAGCCCGGGGTCGCGCCGTGACGCGCTGGAGGCGGCGAGGCGCCAGGTGGGTGAAGCCGCCGCCGGGCTGCGGCGGGGCGCGGGCAGGTGCGGGCGCCGCGGCGGGAGGCTCCGCGGGCGGCGCGGGGAGGCGGCTGCGCGCCCCGGACGACGCGGCGCGGAGCCCGGCGGCCCCGAGCTAGGCCCCCGGCGGGCTGGGCGGCGCCGGGCGGAAACCTCCGGCCCCGGTTCCTGCCCCCGCGGCGCGGCCGGGGCCGGGCGGACGCCGCGGGCACCGAGTCCCGGCCGCGGCCTCTCCGGGCAGGTGCGGACGCCCCCGGGGCGCGGGGGGCCCCTAGCTTTCGCGGGGCCGGCGGCAGAGAGCCCTTCGGGGGTTAGCACGCTTCCTGGGGGGCCCATTTTCTTCGGGCGGACTTGGCGCCCCGCTGGGTGAGGGTCGGCGAGCCGCGTCCCTGAGCCGCGAGGCGGCTGGAGTCGCCCAGGACGGCGGCGGATGCCCGGTGGCCGCTGCTCGCGTTCAGCCAAAGTTGGGAGAGGCTCGATTTTGACTTTAGCGTCTTTGATTTCCAGAATATACAGGAAGACGGAGAGACGTAATCTCTTAGGCCAGAGAAAAGTTTACTGCTGCTGCTTATTTTTTAAAAAGACGCCTGCAGGTGCGTAGTGCAAGGGTGACCCGAGGCTGAAAGCGCAGATGGCTTTGCAGGATGTAGAAAGATGCGCTCTTTGCATCTGTTTATTCATCCTGTACTTTGACCATGAATGATTGCCCGTGGCAAGTAGTCTTCATTCGATGCTTGCATTCATTACCGATTTGGAATTTTTGTTGGAGAGAGGCAACCACTTCATGATAGGCATTAAGGTTATCAAGACAAGGGCTGCTTTGCTAAGTGCTCTGGTGTGGTCTTACTAGTATTTACTTGCCTACCCAGAAATAGACGAGGTGTGACTTGAAATTCTGTGTTGTTTTAGTCAGCTTATTTTACGCAGCATGGACTCTGCAGGTTAAGCTTCTTAAACCTCTGAAGAAAATTAATTGCCTCCCTTCTGGCGCTGGTTTGCTGTATGGTTAGTCAGTGATAAAACCTAAACGCAGTCTAGAAACAGCAGGTGAAACCTTTGCTTAAATTACTAATGATGCCCCTCAAATCTTAAAGATAGTAACAACCCTTTGTGCACGCATTTAGGTATTTTTGTGCTTCCGATTCCCTTGTAATTCCTTCTTCCCCCAAACCCCCAGCTTTTATTTTGAGATATAATTGACATATACCCTTTGTAATTCCAAAAATATGTAATGTGGAAGCGATTTTAACAGCTTAATTTAAGGATACAGAATTTCTTGTTTTGAAGAACACGGGAAAATGTGCATTGCTGCTGCTTTACTGTAATATTAATGAGCAGTTGAAAAGCTTGAATTTTTGCCTTGAATGCATATAGTTACTCCCTTTGCTCACTTTTATAATGAAAGGTAGAATTGTCTGAGAAAACTTGACCTGTACTAAATTACTGAGCACGGAGGAACTATTGTTAATTCAATATAGCTCAAGGCTAAAATCTTGATCTCTTCTGAATATGAGAAAATGTGTTAGACATGTTCTGGGGATTGAAATTATGGCTTAAAAAATCTGTATAGTCACAAAAATAGAATAGTATATGGAATCAGTATATCCATCAGCCAAACGCATAGCTTTCAAGATTTTCTTTTACCTATCTCTCTCTTTCCTACCTTTATTTTTTAGATGTTTCACTCCATATACCTAGTACATTTCTTTTTTTTAATATGGAAAATTTCTTACATAACCTTAGAACTTTTATTTTTAATGTATCTTTACCATAGTTTCACAAATTTCCATCTTTCTAGTAAGACAAAAAACTTATATTAACCATCTCTCTCAACTACTTTGTGAAGTATTAACATATATTTACCTTGGTTGTCATTTCTTGCACCCTTACTACATGCTAGGCCCTATGCTGACTTTTTTTTATTTTAAAGATTTATTTATTTATGCATACAAGAGCTGGGGCACAGACCAGAGGTGTGGTGAGGGTGGGAGGGTGAAAGGATTCACCAGAGACAGAGTGGGGAACAGAACAGGCAGATCAACCAAAGTACACTGCTCAGGGGAGCAGTGGGGTGGGCCAGTCAGGAGAGGTCTGCTGTACCATGTGGGATGCTCCCTGGCCGGCCAGGGATCAAACTCATGCTGCAGAAGATGCAGACAGCTTCATAGGTTGTGTCTTAACCCCTTGTGCCACCAGGGAGGCCCCCATGCTGACTTTTATATAATCATCTAAAGCTCACAAAGACCCTTTAAGTAGTTGTTTTCCTCACCTCAAAATAGATAAGTGAAATGTTATCTTGACCTGGAGACTAAGGACTCCTCCAGGTCTTTGAGTTAGTCAGAACAAGAGCCAGCTTGCAAACCAACATCCTCATTTCAGCACCTGTGTTCTTCTTCTCTGGTGCCTTCATCTGGGTTCAGAAATTTAAAAACCAAGTTATTTGGGATTTCAATAAATGTTTGTTGAGGAAATGGATGAAGGTACATGTTAGTTCATTAATAAGTAACTAGCATTTTGATATACTATATTTGCTTATAAAGCATTTTATTAACAAGTTCCAGAAATGATTTAGACTAAATTACTGAAAATGTGATATTTATTACCATTTAACAGTGCATTTGCTTGTTTTTCTTTTTTTCTTTTTTCTTCTGATCTTTTCAGTAATTTATGGAAAATTTCATGGAATAACTTTTTTTGAAGAAAGGCCATAAAATAAACGGAGGACTTTCTGGTAAGCTGATGTTAAAGACAGGATTCCAAGTGTGAAATAGAAAAATAAGAATGTTTAGAATTAATTCTGTAACTGAATCACTCTAAAGACGCAGATGCATCAGAAATGCTCTATTTTTTCTTGAGTTCGTTTGGACTTTGTACCACCCTTTAACTGTAGAGCACAGCGACTGATGTTAGGGTCCTGTTGGGTCAAGTGTGCACATAGGTATTCTTGAGAAGGAGAAACTGAATGGTCTTGAAGGATCTGCTGGCAGAGAGGAAGTGGGGGTGGGGAGCAGGGAGGAGACTAAGCAGAAATAGGGGAATGACTACATCAAGAAATAATGTATTTTTACCATTCTAAGAGGGCAGCATATTTCATTTGCAAATATAAAGTGTTATTTTGAGAGATTCACAGCTATATCAGGACACATATGACTTATTGTGGAGCTATTGACAGTGGTTATGGTAGACATTCAGGATCTCATTACCAGACCATGGACGTTGTTTTAGTTGAGCAACTGTTTTGTTTTCTAGGTCATTTTCTTCACCAGTGCATGTTCATCTTAGAAAAATTATATGTGATTTAATAAAACTTTCAAGTATAGTAAGAAACTATACAAAGAGAAAAGTGCAGGCTTTCAAGTTAAAAATCTGAACCAACCTGAACACCAAATAGCTGTGTGACCTTGAACAAATTACTTTAATCCTCTGAGCTTCTGTTTCTTCTGTAAAATGGGGCATAATAGCACCCATCTTACAGTGTTGTCGTATGTAAAAAGTACATACAACAGTGACTGTTGCTTGGTTAAATCCCTAATAAATTTACCTGTTATTATTTCTCTTTGCTTCAATGAAAGATTTCAACCTTAATCAGCCTAGTCCCTTTTTTTGGTTCTTAATTCTAAACCTTAACCAACAGAACAATCCATATAAGCAACTGTTTTATGTTTTCTAGAGTAGACACTATTCTGCCAACGAGAATCAGCCCCTTTAGTACCATTAATTTGGGGGGGCGGAAAGAACAACCTAAAACAGCCCACAGGAAGACAATGTTCTATATGTGCAAAGGAAACTACTGCTTTGGATTATCATTTTAAAGTCTTTGAATCCAGGTGTTTAAATAACTTCTGCTTTTCAGGGAGTGCTTGACTAGTGTGAAATTGATAGTGGAGAGAATGGGGCCTCTGTCAATCTGCAGAGTCCACTTGAGAAGGAACCAGCAGGCTTTGCTCAGACAGAAGTCTGATAACCATTGCCCTTGTTGTTCATTCCAGCTTATATACATTGGCATGGACACTTTGTACTTCCTTTGTGCTTAAGAATGACTGCTTAAATAGAAAAATTAAGTAGGTCAAATTAATAAATTTTGCAACTTATGTAATAATATAATATGACTATTTTTCTAGTGAGCGTGAAATAATTTTTGGTGACTCCAAGTGAGAAATTCAAGATCAGTGAAATTTGCCAAGAATGGTGAGGACTGGGAATACGTGTGTAGCATTTCTAATCTAGTTTTGTATAAAATATAAAATCATGAATTGTAGAAGAGAAGCCATGCTTATGATATGAGATTTAATGTCCATTTACTTTCTCACTGGGAACTTTTTAGGCTTGCTTTCTGCTCAAGTTCCAATGAATGCGCATAAGTTGAATTTGTCTTGCTGTAGAGGCAGCATGTATTGGGAGGCTCCCTTGCCCCATCTCCTTTTTTTTTAAATTTATTTATTTATGCATACAAGAGCTGGGGGTACAGGCCAGAGGTACAGGGGGGTGAGAGGATTCTCCAGAGACAGAGTGGGGAGCAGAGCAGGCAGACTGACTGAATACACTGCTGAGGGGAGCAGCAGACGAGTCAGGAGAGGTCCGCTGCACCATGTGGGTTGCTCCCCGGC